ACTTAACACTTCTGTCTCTACTAATTTTCAATATTCTGTACAATAGATCCACTAATAAATTTTGAGATTAAAGACATAACTGATTGAGATAGTGAATACTTAAATATCTTCCACTTCAAGATATGTTTGTCCTACTCTGTTTCTATCAGAGGTTTGGGTCTTTTTGGTAAAATTATACTTTTCAAAATTAAATAGATTTCTTAGGGGTAAAATCATGGATAGCTCAAAATCTCCTAGGTGCCTTTTAAAAGGTGAATTCTCAACAGCAAATGGCACACTAATATTTCATCCTGGTTAAAATGCAGATAAAATATTGCAATTAGTAAAGGTATAGGTTACAGTTGTAACTAAGAAATCTTAAAAAATCTTGCTGGTTTGCCATGGTACCAGGACCAATTTATTTAGTACATTCTGGATGTTACATGACCTCAGATTATTAAATGGCTATCAAACATAATAATGAAATAGCTTTCAAAGAGCATAGTAAACCTAATCATCTATAACAGTGTTACTGGGCACTACAATATAATTTCAAAAAAAAGGAAAGTGAGGTTTATAGTGATTCTGGCATGCTACATACTCAGAGAAGATGCATATATTAAAAATACATAAATTAATACATATATTGTTGAGGTCTGTTCATATTTTGAATGCAAATTGTAGCTCCTAGTTCTTGGAAGTGTCAAAATAGCTGGAGCATAACTGAACCAAACAATGTCAGATATTGGCTCAGATTTGCTGTACCTATAAGAAACCCATTTTATTTTCTGCTAGTATCAGGTGATCTCTTAAAAGTTATGTTCCAATAAAGTGTCACATGGGTGTGCTCACAGTGGTTCATTTTGCTGTGAATTTTCAGAACCGTATTCAGCAATGTGTGCAACCTTTCTTTGAGACTTGGTGTTATACCTTCTCTCCCAACAGTGCTTTTATATTTACTTTCTTTTAATAGGAGGCCATAAAAATATACATCATAGTAAAGTTTAGCAGAAAAAATTTAAAATGTTAGGTCCAAAACACCACAGGGAAGATGCTGGGTTATGGGGATGTGCATTTTTGAAAATACTGCCTTATCTCTAAATATTCCTGCCACTGAAAAGGATGACTTTGGGGCTACAAGCTGGATTTTTTTGTATTAGTAGATTCTGGAAAAAAGTGCCTTCAGTGGCAACATTAAAAGCAATAGTATATTCTCTATCCACCGTCTGCCACATCATCAGAAAAGGGAGATCCTTCTTGGAGAAATGTGTATGGATAAAGAATGCTTTTACATGGGGCAAATGGTGGGAAACATGCAGAAATGCTGAAGAGACACTTAAATTCGCAGGAGACTCTTCTGAATTTCTCTAGAATTAAAACTCCTGACACCTTTTAATATTTCTTTCCTGGTAATTGAACAGGGGTAGGCAAAGCCATGAGCATGCAACCTTCAGATCAAAAATGACCTCTTAGTACTTATTTAGTGACTTGCATTTTCCAGGGAGCTTGGAAATATCACTTGTATTAGAAAACTTGTGGCTATAGAAAGTGTGAAAGTTCTGTTATGTACTGCCTCACTGTACTGATTGACATGAACCTTTTACATTGCAGTTTTTTGACTTAAAATAGTACTGCCAAACCAATGTCCTCCCCTTGGCATATTTTACTCTCCATTCAAACACCAGTTTGGTTAAGTGCAATATCTTTGTGAATTATCCTGCAGTGGCTTAGCTATTAGTGGAAGAAGCCAAAAAATTCAGAGCCAAACCCTAGCTTTAAAATGGAAAGAAAAAAAATATTATTGTGTTTGTTTGTGTTTATCAGATACATGATGTTGTTTATTTTGCTGTTCTCCTTTTCTGTGGCTCCAGACTGCTTAGATGGATTTTAAATTTTGAATGAGCTGTTAATTAGAGCAATTTCTTACACTAACTAGCTGCAAAGATCCCTGGAGAAATCTGTTCTTTTGCAGAAATCTTTGTGAGATTAAAAAACAGTTACGTATGTTTTAGGTACAGTGACATAAACTGTGAAGCTGTGTGTGCTATGCTTTGTCCATAGCTTCTACAGAGAGTTTATTTTCGTCGTTTATATTGCAAAGTTCAGGAAGAAAACAGTGCCCCTTGTTGAAAAGGTTCCAGTGAAGACCGTGAAATAATTAAAAGATGATCAAAAACAAAAATAATGCTGACTCTTAAACCTACAGTCACTGCAGGGACAGAGGGAGGCCTGGGTTCAATTCCCAGATGTTTAACAAAATATTGGAGCAATAAATAAGCAGAATAAAATAAGACAGCTGTATGGGGTGGGATGAAATGCTCTCACACCCTGGAGTTTGCAGTGGTTAGGGAGCACTCCTGGGGAGATGTGGGAATTGAACCTTTCCCATCCTGAGTGAGAACTGCAGCCACGGAGCTCTGGGAACTGGTTGGTTTAGGATTGTGGAATAACTCAAGGCAGCAGACACCCCAGGAGTTCCCAACCATCAGCCCAGCAGGAGTTTTCCTTGTCCCGGGGTGTCTGCCGTGTTCAGGCAGATGTACTGGCTGGTAAATCCAGCACATGGCAGCGCTGAAAAGTGAGAACTGGTACATTCGGGGATCAAGATCGAAAAATTGCAATTCCTTATTTACGGTCAGGAAGTTTATAATGAAGCTGGAACTTATATGCGTGTATTGGGGCAGGAGAGCAAAGAATGAAAGTGAAAAGGCTTGGGGTTCCCGGCGGGCATTCTCACGTGCTAAACCATTGATCTGAGAGCTCTTGAGCTCATCATCTTCCTTTTCAGCTGAGCATTGTTACTGTTAGGGATGTAAATGAACGGAAATCGTGTAGTTTAGCGCTATGCGTGAAATTCCTCCTGGCAGGCACTAAGTGCTTTGTGTGTGTTCAAGATTAAGGTCTTGCTTTATTTAACAAGGCATTTCAGTGCTTGCCAGCCTACTTAGCAAGTGCTTAGCATATTGAAGTTCTTGGAATTAAGCACATGTGTTTCCCTGACTCGGGACTAAATGAGAAGTTTTGTATTTTCGTGGTAATTATTCTAAGATTGCTTGAGGCTTGAGTTAATAGAAAGTTACTTGATCACTTTTTGTGCATGACAAGTTCCTCCTGGGTAGCTCTGATTAGGTAAGTAGTGGCTGTTTAGTTACTATATGATAACTACATGACAGATGTAATTGTGATAACACTTTTCTGTCTATACTACAAACTGGTGAATATTTGTAATTACCTAATTTTCTAGGTCAGGCCATAGCACTGAGGCAGGAAAAAATTACAAGAAACAAAAGGATGAAAAGTGAATAGGGTATCAAATCTGGAATAGTTTTTCCAGTTTCCAATTACATCACTAACTGTCCGGGGTCCAGATAACACAGGATGTGATTCAAATTGTCTCTTAAATTAAAATAGCGCCACTGAGGTCTTTCAAAGTGAAAACGTGGTTCAGTCTTAAATGGCAAAAGCTCCAGCTGGTCTGGGGAAAGACTTTTAAAATCTTTCCCCTTGGGCTACTTTGGTGTTCATTATAGATGTCTCCCTTATCCAACTAGGAGCTCTTACTCTTTTATATTTGTATCTACCGATACATTATATTTGTATCTATGCTAACCAATTATAGGATTATCATGGCTCTTAAATTGTGTAAAGTTGTAGGTGCCCTGAGCAGAAGGGAATTTAATACATGGAATACAAGACATCAGTGTGGAAAGCTGCAGAGCCAAGTTTTCTCAGGGAGGAGAAAAGACTGCACTCGAAGTTTGGGCTTGGGAAAGTTTTCTTCTGAATCCAAGCTGAGGTCTCTCTGTAGGTTTGAATTTATTACCATTTTAAAATAGTAAACAGAAAATAAAAAGGGAAGGACCAAGCAGCCCATCCCAGCTGCTGGTTGGCAGGCAGGGGTGTACAGAGAGCTACTGCCTCCATTGCTCAGGGTTGGGCACTTTGCTTCTGGCTCCTGCAATATGGCCAGTTCTGAGGTGCATTGAAGTTCCTGACTGTAGGAACCAAAATGAACTCGAGATTTTAGTCAGGAAAATTAATTCAAATGTTTTTAAGTCATATTAATATGGATAACCACATAGGAAACATAATGTTATATTTTTCGTGATTTAAAAGTTCTTATCTGAATGCAGAAAATGCCTAAAGGACATTTGACATTGAACTGAAATTTGAATTGAAATGGAATTTGAAGCGAAAGGACCATAAACAACTTCTGAGGCTCTGTCTTTCCAGTGCTTCATTCCAGCCAGCACCTGGCAATTGTTCTGCTAATTGAAACTCCAGTGGACACATTACTGTGCAAAAATCTATCATCCTTTTTATTGTTATTGTGATTTCCAGAAAGAGCAAGGATGGAAGAACTGTGGGCTTTGTGCATTTGAATTGACACATTTGCATGACCAGGTGTTGTGTGGAAACTTGTGCTGGATGTGTTGTAAGAATTGCTTCTAAGAGTGCAACCCCCTTTTCTCTTATCTGGTGTACATGTGTGTTAAACCTTTGACCCCCTAAATGACCTTAGACCTTTTTGATTGGCTCTGACCTCTTTATGACCTCTGACACTTTTGATGACCTTTGACCTTTTGGATACCTTTGAATGACCTCTTGACCTTTTCAGTTACCTTTGACCACATGGGTGACCTTTGAGCTCTGGGTGACCTCTGACCTTTTGGCAACATCTTTGAACCCGTGATGACTTTTGACCCTGCATGACCATTTGTCCTTTTGGATGACCTGTGAGCCCAGGATGACATCAGACCTTTGGGGATGACCTTTGACGCCTGGATGACCTTTGGTGTATTTTCCAGCTGTTTCTGTTAGGATTCTGTTGGAGTTTCTGGCTCTCTCACTAGGGTTGGGCTGCAGTCTCGGCTACAACAAGAGCATTGCAAACACTTACAAGAGCCAGAAGTACTGTTTATCCTCCTGAAAACAGCCAAGAACAGCACGACTGAACAGTGACCAAACCGGTCTGGAATTGAAATCCAGCCTTGTACATTCTGTTTCTTTTCTCTACACAGGGAAGCAACACAGAAGATGCAGGAAGAGACAGACTCACATTGTTAAGGTAGGATGAAAACACCTCTTATTTAACTGCTTTGTAGAAACTTCTGATATCTCACTACAAGCAATTATATTATATAATATACAATAATATCCAGATGATAGTTGGTTTGTTGGAGGAATAACCTAAAAAGGGAGGTTGTCAAAGTCTTAATGCTGATGGCATTAAGGCCAACGTCACCAGCAGACACTCAAGCAAATGTATTGTGGATTCATGGATGTGTTGTTTGCGTGGGTTTTTTTCTCATTTTTCCTCTAATTTTTTATTTTGCTTATAAAGACCTATATCATGGGTCACGTGTTGGTATGACCTGAGCAGCTGGGATGAACTGCCTGGTTGCAGGAAGCTTTTGATGAGTTTGCACTGGTAGGGTGTTGCACCAGTTGGCTGAGACAAAATCAGAGTAAATATATCAATAACTGGGTGTGCTTAATCCTGGGAAGAGGAGATGGCTGACAGTGAGGTCAGAAAGCTTCTTTTTGGAGAGCTTTGGGGTGTGTAATGACTGTGCTTTATGCAGATGGCTAAATATTCTGGAGAGGGAAAAACTGATGTCTAAATAAAACTGAAATCCTTCCTCGTGTTTCTGTCAGAAAGACTTGGCTTTTATGAACCTGATATTTATGTAAGCAAACAGCATTATGTTGTGTCCCAAGAGTAGATTTCCTTGCATTGTTTCTCCAGCAGACTTATCTGGCCACAGGGCCACAGCTTAGCCAAAAAAATTCTTAAAGGAATATTTTTACCTCTAAAACTTAAAACCACAGTAATGTGTTCCCACCCCTATTCACATTTTGGAGTAGAAATACATGGACTAAGATAACAGTTACTGGGAAATCATGGTACTCCTTCCAGTCTTTAAGATTTTGTGAGTTTTGTTGTGAGATTCCACTGAAACATCATGATGGAGACCAAGTTTGTAGTGCTCTGCAGTGAAAAAACTGAGGAAAAGTTGTTATGGTTCAATACAACTTCAAGTATTTCCCAGATATTTTTTAACATCAGATACTGCTGAAGTATCCCACTTAATATTCTGCTTGCTTTGCCAATAATACAGCAGATTAATAAAACACATTAGGTAGGAAACAGCTTTCTGAGAGAGCTAGGAAAGATAATTCAAGGTTTTAGACAAAGCTACTGAAGCAGAAACAAGCTGGCATTTCCCAAAAGCTAATCAAATACTAGTAGAGCAATAAGGGAGTAGTAGAGCAACAAAGGAGTATAGCACATCATTTGGAAGACAAAAGTCAAGAGAGAAGATTTCAAAAGATACTACTTCCATTTGCCAGCAGATAGTACCTCCCAATGTCAAGCCTTTATCACCACAAACATTCCCAAGCATTGTTGAAATGATAATAATCTGTTCTGTGAGGGGGCATCTTCTAAATCATAGAGGTTGTTTAGGTCTGGTGGAGGGCTTAAAAATACTACTCACTCATTGTTAGATCTGAGACACAGTGTCGGGGTCAGTAGATATTGGGCATTTTTTCTATATTTTTGATCATAGTAGTACAACTGGCAATTGCTTTTTTCTGATCACACTGAATTTCAGTCCTTCCTTCCTACACTGTTGGTAAGTAATGGTTTGGAGGTTCATCTGGGTTAAAAAAAAAGCTGAGTTTCAGTATCTACAGTGAAGGGGGGTAGGAGATGGGGTGAAGAAAGAAAAAGGAGAAATAAGTATGTGTGTGTGTGTGTAAATGTATTTTATAAATGCTGGACTACATCATCAGGGAGACTGTAAATGCTCAGCTTCAACCCTACTGGAACTAGGGAATTTTTCTTAGGGATTTAAGGTCAAATCCCTTTGGATACAGAGTGAAATTAAGCCAAATTTTCAGTCTTGAGCTTGTGCCATACATTTTGGATTAAAAAAAATTGCCTCATCCTCAAATATTTTTTGGTGAATCCATCTGTCATGATTTTGTCTCACTAACTGAAATTTCTGCAGAAACCTAAGTTATGTATTTCTGAGACAGACAGATTCACATTTGTCAGAGAACTTAATGTTCACTGGTGTTCATTCTTTCACAACCAAGGTCTGGTGAAGATCAGCAAAAAGCTTTTTTTTTGTTTCCAGGAAATTAATTTGAATATGCCTGTCTTGGAAGCAGTGCTTTATTTTTTGTTTAAGAAGTATTATCAGGTGGGCTAATTGCTGATGTGAACTTCCTCAATTGTTTGTATTAATTTTGTAAAAGAAAACTAAGTAAATGCTGTTGGTAAATATTCACTCTGCAAAGTGTTAGGGCAGTCAAAAAAGCTGTAACCCCAGCTGCCTGTTACTGTCACTCAGTTGAAGTGAAAATGCAGAGTAATTTGCTTGCAGCAAAACAGGATGAACTAATCATTTGACCATTTAGTTGGAGTTAGTGTGGCACATTCTTGTCTGAGCAGAGATTGGAGCACTTGAATGAAGGGAGCTGACCTCCAGCAAACTGGGGCATTATTTACATTGAGATACACTGCTGATTTAAAAAAAAATTATCCAATGCCAAGGTCACTTTTGAAAACAGGTCTGACAGTCTGCTCCCCAAAAGCTGTGTCCTGCACAGAGACCATTACTCATGCAATAGATATGTAGAAAGAGACCCACAGCCTCAGTCTGCTGTGATGGGAACAAGCATTGCCATTAAGGAGCCTGCTGGATGTATTGTGAAGCCTCCTGATTCTGAACCAAAGTGTTGGTATTTGGTTGCCAAAGTCACCTTTCTGTTAAGTCTAAGCACTGCTGCCCAGTTTCTCCGTGAATACATCAGTATAGAATGATGTTATCAAGTGCACATGACTGGGAAAGGACAGTAAATCTACTTCCTCTTTCCAAAATTCATGACTGGTTCTGAACTGAGAGCAAGACTACTTACCATGCACCTTCTTTGACATCACGGACATGGAATATGTTCTTTGTTGTTTAGCACACCCATGAGCTGTTGCTATTTTCTTTTATAATACAAACAGTTTCAGTGAAAACAGGATGATGTTTCCTGTTTCAACTACTTTCCTGCCTTTTTTTCGATCACGTGCTCTTATATTCCAGAACTGAATCTTGTCCCAGTAATTTAACATTTATCAAATTCCTTTTATCATGGAAAAGTGAGGACAACTCATATTTTAGATTAGCAAGCTACAGACTTTAGTTTTGTGTAAAAGGAGCTGTCTTTCATTTAGCTGGCTTAGTGTTATGCCCTTTTATAGTAAATCAGTATGATACCATTAGATACCTATTAACTGATTTTCTGTTTTGTTTCATAGAGGCTTAACTTCACTGCATATACAAATCTCTCAGCTGAGGAATCTGATATACAGAAATGTGTTTGATAGATGTCTATTAGTATGCTTAGCCGGCAGTTTTAATCTCTTTATATTAAGTTAGCTATTAAGGGCAAATAAAAATGTCTGTCTTGGGGGACAGGCTAGTGGCCTATACAGGAATCTGGAAATGCTGCAGGATATTTTTCCTTTGAAAAAAAAAATATGGCAGCTTCATAATGTTGGGCTTTGATTTTTGTTACTCTTCTCTTGTAAAAGCTAATTGTTAAATCTAATTAGATTCTGCTGGCTGAATTCTAGGATATCTGCAGCAACATCCCAGGACATTGTAACCAGGGCGATGCCACTGGGCTGACTGTGCAGGATCCCAAATACTGCAGGATCCCAAATGTGCAGGATCCCAAATACTGCTGAATCAAGTAGGCACAAATAGCACTGCTGCTGTTCTGGGAAACTGGTCTTTGTCCTGCCTATTCCCATGCCAATCCTGTTGCCTTTTGGAAGAAGATGTGTGAAGTAACCAGAGCTCTTAGAGTATAAAATATTGGTGATATACAACTGACATATCTTGTCCCATCTGTCAGACAGGGACTAACAAACTACAGAGTCCACCAAGGCAAGTTTGAAATGGCTGAAGTGTGTTTTGAAAGAAGGGATCACGAGGCTGATGTTTCACTTCCCTCCTTTGCTCTCCACATATTCTTTTCATAAAATATGTAAATGCAATGGCAATTTGTAGTGAAGGCCAAAGCTGGCAGAAATGACAAACCATGGCAAGTGTGTGATAAAACTTTCCAGGGTAGTTTTTCCTCTGATGCCCTTCTGATCATACTTAAGATTTTAAACTGATGTTTTTTCTTCTTGATTCAGAAAAGTTGATCAAGGTTTGGAAATCAGTGGTTATGCAGTAAGCTTGAAATACCAGTGCCTCTTGCAGTACTCTGGGATTGCCTTTTTTTTTTTTCTCTCTCATGTAAAATACATAGGAAATTAAAAATTTGATTTTCATATATTCTTGGTCGTAAGGTCAGTGATGAAGACATATTAATCAGTAACTGCACTTGGCTTTGCTTTAGTCTCCCAAAAATCCCTTTTTACATCCTCTAGGTGAGAGTTTTAAAGAAACATACTGGTTTTTATGTCTGTCCATACACATACTCACGTACAGGCTTACTTTAGTGTTAGCTAAAAGAATGTGAAATTCTGTATGACTCATTCCTTTTGTTTTCAGGGTAGGTCTCTTTTGTCTTTATTGTTTTTTGGGTTTTTTTTTTGGTTTGGTTTTGTTTTTTGTTTGTTTGTTTGATATGAATTAACCCAAAATAAACCTGGTTAAGGGGTAATACATCCACACAGCCTTTTGCACCAGTTTAACTAAACCAGCTTCATATTACTTCCCCATTGTGTGCATGCACATCCTTACTGCAGAGTGATGTGTAATGTGATGTACCACCGTGGTGGCTCCCTCACACCCACTTAAAAAGACCTGTTTTCATTGATGTTGCTGCTGCTCCCCTGCTTACATTGACCTTTTTCAGTCTGGGGGCTTTTTTTGTTTGGATTTTTTTTGTGTTTTGTTCGGTTTTTTGTTTTCTTTCGGGGTTTTTTTTGTTAGTTTGTTTTTACAGTAATGTTTGTAACACTGATTCTTTCTGTTTATGCAATCAGGCTGGTCAAGAGAAATCAAGTCCAGTCATTTTGGGCATTTCCTGCAGGCATGTACAGATAAGTCC